CCCTCTTTTCCACAGGCACCCAGTTAAACAGCATTATTTGGCCTTCCTGAAACTAAGTTCCAATCAGAGGATGCAAGAGGAAGCGATGTTGGCTACTCTCCAGCCTGAGCCATAAAACCCCCCAGGGGGGCTCCTCCAGGCTCTTGTCCCCTTCCACCTAGCCGGCTAGGAAATGACCTCAGGGTGACCTTGGAAGTCCGGAGTCAAAGGTAGATGAATGACTTCTGGAACCCAGGCTTCTGTTCTCTACTTTTTCCTGCTCAGCAGGAAGATCCATAATGGACTTTCAGCCTAGGACAAGATACAAACTTACACCACTGAATCTGATACCACTGAATGTTAGAGGTTTCTTTGTTGTGATTGCTAGTATTAGAGTCTTAATTAATACAGCAGAATTACAGAGTTTTACTGACTACTGATAGCTGTGAATTGACAAATGATTTAATTACATAATCCAAGGTTATAAATAAAGAAATAGAGGGCCAGAGAATTGGGTATTTTGCCCCAAACACACAGAAAGTGGAATTTGGCCTAGAACTCGGCTGTTTTGTGTTCAAGTTTATGTTCTTTCTGTACCCTATCCTGCAAAGGGAAGAGTGGATAAATTCCACCTTGGTTCTAAGTCTTGAAAACTGATATTGACCAAGATACATCAGAAAAGAAGTTCTGTGTAAACTAAACAGGACAAATTTTTGTGTTGTTACTATGGGCTCCTAAATGCACTGTTTTCAGCTTTATATTAAGCTTTATTTTAAGTGAGGCTGATTAGAATTAATGTGTGTTTGATATACACAGATGTTTTAGTGCAAATTAATTTCCTGTAGGTTGATCTGGAATATTGCTAACTTTTCTCTTCTTTTCAACATATAGTTTATCTTTCTAATGAATCCACAGTAGTATTTTGCATTAGCTTTTTGCAGTATCAAAATGAAGGAATTATGCTTTTCTTGTTTCCTTTAAGCAATTTTTTTCTAATAAAAATTAGAGTTTTTTTTTTTTAAATCACTCACTGTTGGAGTGGGAGGTTATAGGTGAGCAAGGGAAATAGGCTAGAGTGATCCATGTGGCAGAATATTGAAGTTGGAGATATAAGTATAAACTCATATTTAGCTTAACACAAAGAGAGCTATATAAAGAACTATTTATAGTTTTGTACATATACAGACTAGTGTACAGATGGGTCTGCAATTTACAGTGGTTTGACTTAAGATTTTTCAGCTTCATGATGGTGTGAAAGTGATATGCATTCAGTACAAATTGCACTTCACATTTTGAATTTTGATATTTTTCCAGGGTAGAAATATGCAGAACAATACTCTTTTGTAACACTGGGCAGCAACAGTGAGCCACAGCTCCCAGTGAGCCACACCATCATGAGGATAAACAACGGATCCACTCACACCCATTCTACAACCATAGAGTCATTCCATTTCTCAGTTCCAGTATTCAATAAATAACAGGGATTGTGTTTGGTGATTTTGCCCAACTGTGTTAGTAAGTGTTCTGAGCACGTTTCATCTAGGCTAGTAAGGTGTGATGTTTGATAAGTTAGATGAATTAAATGCATTTTCTGACTTAAGATATTTTCTACTTATAATGGGTTTATTAGGATGTATCATATTTTAAGCCTAGGAAGAAATGCACACCTTCTATCTCCTTGCTATCGACCAAGAAGGTTTCGAGGCAATAACACCACAACAGCAAACAGCAAATAATACCCATATCTTTGTTTCTAATATCATTTGCCAATAAAACAAACCAGCACAAATAATACCCAGATCTTTGTTTCTAATACATTTTGCCAATAAAACAAACCAAGGCTCCTTGGAGAAATGGCTGATTTTTGGACCAGGGCAGGAAAGATACAAGATGAGCCTGGAATATCTTATAGTACAAGAAAGTAAGGAATACTTTCTTACAAAGCACCTCACATAATGGAATATGTTTAAGGCATACAGAAGTCATTGGAAAGAACTCCCAATGGCCAAAGTTGAAATGATTAGAGCACAAATAAACTAAGCAGTATTAAATTATAATCCAAAATATAAAATAAATATTTGGAAATATCCAGGAGTCCATATTGATATAAATAAAAGATTGACTAGAATAGACAAATATCCCATTTAGATGATTCCAAATAACTTATGTAGACCCCAACCTCAAGGACGAAGGGGATGGAATATAATTCTCACTCTTAAGTATAGACTGCACAGTGACTTCCAAAGAGAATAGTATGGAAAAAAATTAGGAAAATAACTTTACGACAGAAAAGTGACAACACTACCTCAGGCAGGTGACAAAAGTTTGCATGAACAATGAATGATAAGTCACATTGATAAAATGTATACTTGATATGATGTAATAAAATGGCACTTTATCTCAGTGTTCTTCCTCCCCCAAATTCCTATCCCCAGGTTAATTGTAAGAAAAATTTCAGACAATTCCCAATTGAGTAATTCTACAGAATACTTCACCAGTACTCCTCAAAACCATCAAGGTCATCAAAAACAGTCTGAGGAACTGCCATGGCTGAGTCAAGCCTAAGAAGGCAAGACAAACAAATACAATGTGGTGTCCTGAATGGGATCCTGGTACAAAAAGGGTACTGGGTAACCACTAAGGAAATCTGAATAAAATAAGGACTTTTAGTTAATAATAATGTATCAATATTTGTTCATGAATTATAACAAAAGTGCCATATTAATATACTACTAACAGGGGACTGGGTGTAGGGCATAAGGGCTCTCAGTATATTATCTTCACAACTTTTCTATAACTTAAATGTGTTCTAGGCATAAGAAGTTTTTTCTTTTAAATCACTCATTATTTTACCATCTAGCAAAAAACAAACGATATAGATGTCATCTTTTTTGCTATCAAAAATTTATTTTTCAAAGTGGTTTTATACTGTACATACTCTTTCACTTAACATTTAGGGAATGTATTTTCATGTCATAATTCTGCAACATGATTTGTATTTATATCAGAGGAGTTCATCTTAGAAATGTAGCATATGTTATTTAGTCAATTGTTTATTGGTGTATGTATTCGTGTTTAATTCTACTGAATTTGTCTGGGAAAGAGGTATGGGAAATGGAGAAAGTCAGAAGAGAAGAAACAAATCTGACACATTTTTTCATTGTGAGAAAGAAAGGAATGGGTCTGGTCCGGTGCTGCCAGGGAACACACAGTGGGCTTCACAAATAGCTCTCTCAGTCTCCACAGTTCCTATTGTCCTTTTCTATAAAATGGACTAGAGAATTGACTCAACTGCCTGCTCCTAACATCGATTACCCTAAATTTTGCAAAAAGACTATTTCTTAAAAAATTTCATGTAGTAGATATGGCCAAGTACACTTAATAAAGAAGATACAGAAAATAGATGAAAGATACATTTCCTCTTTGTTGAATAGCCAAAAATAATTTCCTCACGCGTGGCACTAATGGAATACATTATGTGAAATGACATAAAGATCTGACAGTTGGATGCAAAGGGGACTCACGCCCCAGAAAGAGGGAGGATGAGTTCATGGGTGTTGCAAAAAGGCTGAGTTCAGCTGAGCACAAGGAAAGGCTGTCTAACAACAAAATGGGCTTCCTTGAAAAATAAGTGAGTTCTTACACGTGCAGAATTTTTCAGCGTGGACTGGATAAAGAACCATCAGGGATATTATAGAAGCTATTCCTGCCATACGTAGAAATTCAAACTGAATGGTCACCAAGAGGTCACTTTCAATTTTCCAAGGCTTTGACTTGTTTTTTTTTAAAATTTTATATACAGCACCCCCTGCAGCCTACCGCCCTTAAGCATTGCCTCTATTTCTGAGCTCACTGCTGTCTCATTGGTCTCTTAACTGAAGAATCAATTCCACTAGCAAAAATAAAAGGCATCTATTAGGAGGATGAGTCTTTTGGCTTGTTTGCTCGGGTACATCTCTAAGCATCTGATGAAGAATGGATCCTTTCACTATGGCTAAGAAAGTGTGAAAGAATCATCTTTTGAAACTCAGTCTTCCCTATGAAGTCAATGCAAAAAAGAACAGCAACTTCAGACAGCAGGTTTCCAATTCACGATCTATAGACTGTCCTCAAGATTTCTTCATATTCCTTCCAGAACATGAACTTGTGAAAGCCGCAAAGCATGGAAGGGATTTCCTTGTGACACCCTTGCACGCTGTCATTCCCCAGACTTTCATTTCAAAAAATAAAACACACACACTTATTAATATTAAAGTTTTTAAAGTGGATCTGACCTGCAGGTGAGCCTTCCTCACCTTCACATTTTTAGGTCTTGAGGGAGAAATTGTACCTAGTGGGAGTTTTCTTTCCTGTATGGTGAAGGTGAGTCACTGTTTTACACATCAAGTGACTCCATTATGTTCTCCCTACCCATCCAGCCCTCTTTATTCAGGCAGACCCTCCAAGACGCGTGTCCCAGTGTTCATTTCTGAGACTCCACTCGAGAAAATTAGCCCCTAGCCTGTCAGAAATACCAGAATGGCCAGAAACAGTCCTCGGGGTGAGGAGCAGCAGGGCAAATGAGGGAAGGGAACTGAAAGTTTTAAGAACTTTTTGTCCTAAACTTCGGAAGTATAGAGAGTTAATATAATATTTTATGGGAAACCATATTTTGCATGTGGATCATCACTCCCAACACACACACACACACACACACACACACACACACACCAAGCCATGGGCGGCTGCTATTGGCAAATGCCATCCTCTCCAATCACCAGAGCAGGGACGGGTTCCCTGACGCCCCAGGGCACCAGCCGTAGCTGGGGGCTCTGGCAGCCCTGGCCGCCCAGGGCCAGTCTGGGGAATGACTGCGTGGAAGGTGCTGCAAGGGAATCCCTTCCCTGCTTTGTGGCATGTTAAAAATGCAGCACCACCCTCTCTGCTCCGTTTCCTCGGCTGAAAAGCAGAATTCGAGGGCACAGGGAAACTGGAGGGGCCTAAAGGCCGCCCGACCCCGGGAGCCCCCTCGCTCCCTCCCTCCACGGCGCCCCCTTCTTGGACTCCCGCTGCCGCGGCTCCAATGGGCCGGCAGCAGCTTCCTCTTCCATTCACTCAGGCGGGGAGGGAAGAGGGACAGCAAAACTCTAAAAATAACTCTCAGCACCTAAAAAAAAGCAAAGCTTAGCTGCCCAGCCCCTCCGCCGCTCGCTCCCTCCCTCCGCCCCCCTTCTGGGGCACGTCTGCTTCTCACAACACCGAGGCACATGGTTCCAGCCAGGCACCGAACCCCACCAGGTCAGAGAGGAAATCCACATCTGTGGGACGCTCGGCGCGGAAACACCTCCAGCGAGGGAGGCCGGGGAACTGCAGCCCCGAGATGAAGGGCTAGACCGGGGCAGCGCTGCTCATGCGGTGAGAGCGGGCGCGGGGGGCGGCGGGCGCGGGGAGGCCGCGGCGGGGGTGGGCCCGGCGGTGCCCCCGCGCGCGCGGTCCGTGTTGCCCGCCTTGCTGCAACTTGCTGCAGTGTTTCAAAGAGTAGTAGGAGCGCGTGGAGGTGGGGCCGGGGCAAGACCCTGCGGACGGGGTGGGGAGGCGGCCCGGAGCGGGTGGGCTGGGGGAGAGGGGCTAGCCCGGCGCTTACACATGTCACATGTGCTTTTTAAGACGGCCGGGAGCGCCTGCGAGCCGGACCTGGTGGAGGATGCTGCGGCAGGTGCTCCGCAGCGGGCTCCAGGCGTTCTGCCGCACGCTGGGCTTGTGCGTGAGCCGGCACCCGGTCTTCTTCCTCACCGTGCCCGCAGTCCTGACCGTCACCTTCGGCCTCAGCGCGCTCAACCGCTTCCAGCCCGAGGGCGACCTGGAGCGCCTGGTCGCTCCCAGCCACAGCCTGGCCAAGATCGAGCGCAGCCTGGCCAGCAGTCTTTTCCCCCTGGACCAGTCCAAAAGCCAGCTCTATTCGGACTTACACACCCCTGGGAGGTATGGCAGGGTGATCCTCCTCTCCCCACCCGGGGACAATATTTTGCTCCAGGCTGAGGGGATCCTGCAGACCCACCGAGCGGTGCTGGAAATGAAGGTGAACCACAAGGGCTATAATTATACTTTTTCCCATCTGTGTGTGTTGAGAAATCAGGATAAGAAATGCGTGCTGGATGATATTATTTCAGTGCTAGAGGATCTCAGGCAGGCTGCCGTCTCCAATAAGACAACAGCCAGGGTGCAAGTGAGGTATCCCAACACTAAATTAAAGGTATGCTCCTCCTGCATGCTTCTGCCAATTAAAGAGGCAGCGCTTCATTTCTTGCCCTAAACAAGCAAAGAAAATGCAGAGGTCTCATCCTTAAGACTCAGAAGCTAAGGCTTCTTTCATTTTTGGGGGGAAAAGATGGGCAACTGAGTGAAGCAAACGGGCAATGAATGGTACGACTAGAGATTAAGAAATTCAAAGCCAAACAAAACAAATGCCAAAAATGAAAAAAAAAAAAAAAAGAAAAGAAAAAAGTTGTTTCTGAGACCCTGCAATTACATCTTTGTTCAGGGTTAATAAATCAGTGAATGGAAGGGGGCGTTTCTGAGACCCTGCAATTACATCTTTGTTCAGGGTTAATAAATCAGTGAATGGAAGGGGGCGGGGGAATCCTGAACAATTTGGGGGATTTCTTTTCATTATGGGGCTCTATGTATTTCTTATTACTGATTACACATCCACCTGGTGCCATATCCACCTACTTACATCTTCAGCCTGGCTTGATTTTGACATACAGAGAGTTTGCATTTTGGTGCCGTGTGAGTGTGTGTGTCTGAAAGCAGTGGTAATGGATGTAGTAGGGATTCCAGGAATTATGTGTATATGTGTTTGCAAGTAAAGCAGAAACTTTCTATGTGTACAAATGGGAACGTGCAGCCGACTGATGTACTAGTTTGCTGAGTCCTGTTACTTATCTTTTCCATAAAAAATTACAAACCAAAGTAAGCTTATTACAACAGCCCCAAAGCAAAAGAAAACAAAAAATTCCCCAGTCAGCAAGAATTGTAAAGAATGATTACTTCAGCATTACCTAGTTGTGCTGTTTGAACTCTCAATTCAGATTTTATTACTCAAATAGGATTTCCAAGCTCATTCTGTGCTGTCAGAATTGAGCTGCTGCAGGCAATGAGGTGTGCAGTCTCCAGGTGACTGAAGTTTCAGGGACAAATGTGACTTCCAAAAGAGTCATTGCACCATTTGTACGTTCAACCCTGTGCATGCTCAGAAGCTGCACAGCAGAGAGCTCCCAAGACAGGTGTTTCCCAAGAAGGAATTTTGTGTCTTCTTATGTGTATGAGGATGTGTGTGCATGGTTCTGTGGAGATAATGAAATAGCAGGGACTCCAGTTTCAGTAAATGGATGGCCTAATATAGGAAATCATATTTCTTTTTATTTCTTTGCTATATATAGTCAGCATCTTTACCTAATTTAAAAATAACTTTCTCAGGATTTTTGAAATCAAAAGCCTCTTTTGCCTGAATTGAAGGAAGAGTTAATGTACTTAGGAACTGAGGATTCCTCAGGAAACCTCATAACCTGCCTCCTTTTAACACGCTGTCCCTGTTTCAATGTATCCAGAGGCTGACAGGGTTTCAGCTTTACAAAACTAGGCAGCCCCTTGAGGTTTAGTGAAACTAGACAGATGATTCATCAGCTTGAAATCTAGGTAAGGGCTTGCCAGCTTCACACTTACTGAAGGGAGCATGATGAATATATGTGGTTGGGCAGCATGCTTTTTGTTTCCTGAATCCTTTGCCATCAACATTTTTGCTTGCTAAAGAAAGGATGCACTGCCCTATAGTCTTTTAACCAAATTCTTTTCCATGCCAAACATCTGGTGTAGAGAAAGACTTGAATCTGTCATATTTAAGCTTCAATTTACTTTCCCTATTGAACAAGATTGCAGGGTATTTGTACGCATTATCAGTTGGGTCCCAGATTTCCTTTATTCAGCAGTACTCTCCAGGCATGAGGATAAAGGTCCAATCAGCCACTCTAGATGTTTTGTTTATCTGGCAGTATCATTATGACATTTACAGATAAACCGCTGAAGTCTTTGGTTCACTCATTGAATAATCAGTCGCCGTGCTCCTATTTTTATTAGTCTTTCTATGCTCACAAGACAGTTTGAGACAAGAAAAGAAAGAGGTTGGCACTTTTATGGAACTTAAAAGTAGGAGATGTCAGTATTCTCACCCAGAATTACTTGCAAGTAGGGACTTTGCAATCTTTGGGTCCACCACTGAGCCAACAACCATGCTAGGCCTATAGAAGGTGCCAATCTAAACATTTTCACTGATGGGTGGTCAATCTACATCTTGATAGTAGTCAGTGAATAATCATAAAAGAATGGAGGGATGAATGATAGGAGTCAGTCTAGTAATAGAATTACTCTATAAACTGTAAGAAGACAGGAGAATTCCACACTGGCTCTGTAAACTCTAAAGTCCTTATTCTGTGACATACTAGTGTCATTGTCTCTTCAAATGTGCTGGCTTGACTCTCTCTGCATGGCATCGGTGAGAATTGTTTCAGCTATGTTTGGGAGAATGAATCCTTTGAGAAACTTATGAGAGCAATAAGCCCTCTCAAGCATCTAGTTGCAATCTCCCATATTAATGTAATATAAAATATAATTTGTAAAGTACCATGGATATATAAAATTCTATTGGAGGACCTCCAAGGACTTTCAGGTTAGGAACTCCCTGGCACAAAGCAAAGTGAGAATAGCCATTGGTTTTGATCATCTGTTATTTGGAAATGATTTAAATTCATGTGTGGCAGTGGTTCTCAAGGAATGTTCCTATACTATATGTGCTAAAGTTTGAGAAGTTCCGGTGTATGCGATCTCTGGGAAAATTTTATATGTACATATTTTGGCCTTCTGATTTATTTTGCTTTCCTTTGTCATACTTGGGTCACCACTCTTCTTAACTCTGGCCAATATGGAAAATTTTAGTACTGGAAGATGCTGCTGGTGGGCAGGGAATCAGGAGTTGAGGAAAAATGCAAAATAAATAACAGTAATTTGATTATGTGTGTAGAAACTGGTGATCTTTTTATGTGACAGAAGTAGTAGTTGGTTCTTGGAGATAGTCTGAAGCTGCATTAGAAGAAGTGGTCAGAAACAGTTGCAACAATCAGAAGGGCATCTACCATACAATAATAAGACATTCAAGTAGACCTGAGCACAGAAAGGTCTAGAGCTTCTGATAAACATGAGTGTCTTGACAAGGTAATCCAGACAAACCAGGACACAGAAATTTCCCTGGTATTCAAGAGGCTCAGATAAAGCTCTTATGAATAAACAGGAGTCATCTTAGACAGCAGAAAAATGAAACATACACACATTTTCAAAAGCAATGTAGAAAAGAGACCAAAATCTGAAATTCCTATACCTACATAATATAAACAGTACAATTGTGACTGTTATTATAATATTTATATTAGTTAGTCACAAAGGTCATATCTTCTATTTATTCTGTACTATTCACATCCCCCCATCCCCACCTTGTCCAGTTCCATTACAGAGTATTCACATCATTGATAAGTCCATTGATTAATTTGTATATTTATACAGTAATATCACGAAATTATCATCACTTTTCAAACCCCTGTGGCATGCTTTTATTTCAAAGGCATTCTCTACATTCTCCAGGTTTCTGTAAAGTGTTTTTGACCCCAATAATTAGAGGGCCACTTTTTTCACCTTCTAAAACACACACATAGTGTATAAATTAATACAATGTGGCCAGACTGAGTTTTTAAGTTAAATGCATTACATATTGTTGAAGCCAGTTTCTTGATTAAAATGGAACTCAAACTCCTTAAAGCAAGGACTACTCTGGACTTCAGAAATGTTTTTATTATAATCCAGTTGGCTCAGATGGCTGTGGGTAGTATTCCCTGCTTCTTAGGCAGGCCATCATGACCTCACTTTTACATCTGACTAGTTCTAAGAAAGTAACAATTCCCATACGTCCCTGTTCTTTATTTTGGCCACAATGCAAGACATAGATGAAGCAGACAAATGCAATCCATGTTATATGACAAGAAAAGAATGAAGCAGATTTGATTCCCCTGCAGCCTGTTCTTCCCATTAAATTCCATTAATACTGAACCTCTGAACAGATGTTTAAGTCAAGTGTATGTGCTACAACTTAAGAACAGGAGAAAAGACAGACTCCCACTTCCTGGCAAAAGACAGTGTTTCTTTGGGTACATTTTGAGTGTATCTCCCAGGTTAGGAAGATGTTGCCACTAATTATATGAATCCAATCTCAGCAAAAGGGTGACTTAAACCAACATGGGAAAGTAAGGACTGATGTTGTTTTTAGAGATTTCCAAGAAAAGTTATTCTATATATTTCCATCATTTATTCTAAAATCACATAAGACATCTGTGTCAGGATATTTTCTGGTTTGTGATTGAAGCTTATCTTCCTGATTCTATACTTTAAAAGGGAAAAACACTGCTACCTCATCAGTTTGTATCCTAAGTGGTGTTCCTTTTTATACACAGCATGTCACTTTTACAATTTTATGTGTCAGTGGGAGTATTTTTATTCCTATTTGGTAGGTAAGGAAACTAAAAACAGAAGGTTAAGTAAATTTAACAAGGTCCCCAAGGTAGTACATTGTACAGCTAGAATTATAATCCAGGTCTGCCAGGCCTGAAGTTCATATTCTTAACCATGATCCTATACTAGGTCCTATCACATCCTGCACCATTCTCTGTAAAAACAGCCCTTTGTACTAAGAAAGATCTAGGGGCATAATTCCCAAGCCATCTCAAATCACATTTAAAGACCACCACTGATCTTTCACACCAGAACACATGCTCACTCAGAGTCACCAGCCCATAAGATAGTGAAGTGAAGCTTCCCCTCCTCTGTTCACCCACAAGGGAGTGACACTTCCAGTTTGAGCAAACCCCTGGCATGTGCCTACTGTGGAACCTGCCACAAAGGGTGTAGCAGATTCCTTGCTGACACATGACTTTACCTTTCATATTATTTCACTTCATCTCAGAGCAAGCCAGCATGAGG